AAAGTGGATGATGATGACAATGGTATAACAGTTTTGGGATACTTTCATGCATTTCCAAATGCTTCTCTGCACGAGGCTGAAAGGGAGATAGGTATACCCTACGTGACAATTTGTCGAATTCTTAATAAGCATAAATGGCATCCCTATAAGTTCTACTGTGTCCAACATTTGAAAGAGACTGATTTACCTCGTAGAGTGCCGCCGGAAAATCCCCATGTTGTCCGCCAAAGGGGTTTTCGAGAAAGATGGCAATTCGATGTGTTTTGTGCCATAAAGAATGAGTCAATTTTTTATATCGAGTTTTATGATGATGATTTGAATGCATCAAAATATGAAGATTTACTGAGGAATGGAATTCAAATGATTTTAAATAATAGACCAGGAAGAGAACGTGTATGGAACCATTGCTATGGTACTATTGCTATAGTTGTTTTGAAAAGTCTACTGATAATATTTGAATAACAGATATTTGACACCATTGTAGATACATTGTACTCACCTTCGACTTGATAAGCAGAGGTAGTAGCACCAAAAGAAAAATTTTTCGGAAATGTTTTGTTACTTAATTGGGGTTTCTCGGCCAAACTGAAACTCAAAAAATTTCATTTTCGATTATCATTGCTGGAATAGTGTGAATTTTCTGCTGTGTGAATAACTCAAATTCTTTACTTTTGATAATGCCGCAGTCATAGACAAAACGTCGGGCATAAAAACCGATGTGGTTTGAAAACTCCCCGGTCTAAGAAAAAACATGTATCAATAAAGCCAATGTTGAACAAAAACACGCGTTTTCTTTCTTAAGCCCTGGACTTCTCAGACCATGTGTTATACCTGTCCTCTCTATATGAAAAATCACGAACTTGAATTGGAAACTAACTCTCAATGTCATAATCACACAATGAGAAAGAGGTATACAATACAATTTTTACAATCAAGTTCTGACAGACATTCATTTAGTTGTCAATGTAAACTTACCCAAAACTGGACACAGTTAGTAGAAGCACAAAATATAGAAAAGGCGACATTCTTCAAGAAAACGTGATTTCGTTTTTCTTTCAACTTCGCATCCGGCACAAATATACATTTTTCACAGATTTATATAGGTTTGTAATTACGCAACTCCACTCGATCATAATTAATTTGTTGCGTCAAAAAACCCTTCAAATGTCTAAAGTTCAGAAACGCATTCAGAAATTTCAATATATTCGATAAGATCTGGTGTCATTGAATGTGAAACAATTTTGAAGAATTGGAAGGGGTATATTTTCAGGATAGATCAATTTTTGGAAATGAAAGATTTTGGCTTTCTACTACTACATCTTGATACAAAAAAAGGATGAGGGAATCTTCCAAATAAAGGAAGGAAGTAATTAATTTGAAATTTCTTTGCCAAAAATTATTCACTCCTAAAAATATAACCCCTTCAATTCAAATGAAATCGATCCTGTTCATAATGAAGAAAAGAGAAATGAAACTTTCTATGTTTTCACCACTTTTATTTGTAAGTAACGTTACTGCAGTTCCGTCCTATACGGACATTTTCAAACTCATACAGTAAACTAGTACTATATTACTGTATCGCTGCTGTTCCAATTTCCAATGTTTTGACAGAATCAGAATCGACGAACCTGGGAAATATTGTTCTACAGCGCCATCTAGCAAATGCAAATGCCCTAATGACCCTAATGCAAATGCATTAGGGTCTACAACCCTAATGCATTTGCATAAGGTGTCTTCAACACCTTAGTCTACGCGACTGCGGTGGACTAAGGTGTTGAAGACACCATACTGGCAAGCCATGATGAACCCCTCAGTTTCCNGCCAGATGGCGGTGGGTACTTGGTAGTTTTTTCCACCAATAAGTGTTTAGCCCATCTGGGCCTGGAGCAGCAAAGTTCTTGGAACCAATAAGGGCTTTTCGAACGTCATATGGGGTTATCGGGTTTTCCAATGTAAATGTTTCATTTGTATTATTCCACCTATAATGGATATTTCTGTTAAATCCACCATTGTTGGTGAATTTTGATTCGTCTGGCCTGCATATTGAAAAAATTTGTAATTTAGTAAATACATTTCACTACACTTGTCAACTTCACTTTTCTGTTTTGAACGTAGGACACATACATTTTCAAATTATTTGATAGTTTATTGAAAATACTGTGAACTATAAAAATTATCTGGTATTCTAATTGAGAATTTAATAAATATCTGAAAGCATACTTCGAAATATAGAGCGTAAGGAGACTATAATCTAATGAATGCCTCATTGGATCCAGTTTTTTAAATGATAGGTAAGCCTGAGAGAAAATAATCATGTACGTTTCAATATAAACAATGATTCATTCAGAGAAGGCAAGTTTAGGTTTTCTGTACATCGCAGTATTATTATCTTTGTTTGAATATAGAGGGTGACGTCTGCATTGTTTTATTCACCTCAGTATACAAAATAAGCAAGCCAACTATTATATACCATATTAGGTGAGATGAGAAGTTCATAGGCTAACTCACAGATTAGGCAACTGGAATGAAATCCATATGAGTTTTGAAAAGGAAAAAATCATCATTGAAGCATTTGAACGATGAAATCGCGGAAAAATGACACCATTTGAGAAAAAAATTGTTCTTTCATCAGGACGAGGCACCCTGTCACAAATCAATGAAAACGATGGCAAAATTACACAAATTGTGCTTCGAATTTCTTATGCATCCACCGTATTCTCCAGATCTAACCCCCGGCGACTTTTTTCTAGTCTCAGACCTCACGAGAATGCTCGCTGAAAAGAAATTTAGCGCCTGATTAAGAGGTAGTCGACGAAACTGAAACCTATTTTGAGGTTGAAGACAAATTACTATAAAAATTGTATTACCTTCGAAGGCGACTATATTGAATGATGAAATTATTTTTTTTAATGTTAGCCTACGAACTTTCAATCCCAAGTTACAAAACAAACATTGCGTTGACAAAACTCGAAAATATCACATCGTATCATCAAAAATAACCCTGCCGATCCTTGTTGAGTTCAATTCCTTCGGGGTTGATCTTCTTACCCGAAGTTAGCTCGTGCAACGTTTCGGAGTTGTCAGGGAAATCATCGGCTGGCATGGAAAACTGCTGAGTGTTAGAAATGGTTCGACTTCTTCTGAACTCCTTGTCGTGTCTGTCTTTCAAGGAGCTGTATTTGCGCAGGATCTCGACCTGCACCTCGCTGTTCAAAAGGCAATATAGAAGAGCAGCAAAAAAACCCTGAAATATTATGAAGTGATACTTTGAATGCAGTCAATGATAATTGATTTTGAAAACCGTAATATGATTTATCTATTGAAAATATGTAAGAGAAGTTTTATATTCGTCCACTTAACATTTGTTGAGTTCCAAAAATGTTGGAATTTCAAAAACTATTGTGCTTTCTTCAAATGTGTCCTCAACGCATGAAAATTGAATATTAAAATTCCTAATCCCTTGACGGACTTAACAACTGGATTGTCATAGGTGCGTTTTCAAGTCCAAAGGGCATACTCAAAAAATCAATCATATTTGAAATTGAAAGAAGCATATTCATAGGGAAGATTATTTTTCAGGAAAGAAGTAGAAACGCCTAAACTTCTCTTTCCCATATCTGAGAAAAATTGAAAACAATCACAAAACTATCGAAGATTTTCTCACCTGAAACGCAGCAAAAGATTGATCAACAAACAAAAAAAATATCATCAAAACCGGATCCCTCTCTCTTTTGACGAATAAAGACATGGATAGTGTAAACACGTAGGGAACTCCAAATAAGGGAATCAGAATCAGAGTTGCTTTCAACAGTTTCCTGAAAAATACATTTTTATCAATTGCCTGACATTTTTCGCAGCTCATTGTCTAACTAGCTCACCGATACTTATATTTTCTTTGTTGGATACAAACATTATTCAGCTTCACAGTCAACACTCTCACAATAATGAGAAAAAGTATAAAATTCATCTGTAAACAGTTTGGAACATGATTTTGAAACGCTTTTCACAGTTATACCTACCACAATAGTAATACCTATCGGCAAAGCAACTAACAAATCTATATATAAGTTACTTTTCTCCGTCCAGCAGCGTACGTTATCAAAAATAGCTCTCAAAATAATCCATGGAATGAGAAAGAGTATTGGCAGACCTGGAAAGAAACTGGTACAATTCGCAGAAAAAAATCAAGTGTTATGTATGAGTTGGTGATAACAGGAGATAAAAGAGCCGTTAATTTATTGAAGTGATGTCAACTGGCATTGGAATTTGAGACACTTTAATGCCATGTATCCCCACAATATTCCATAGTCAAGTAAGTTCATGCGCACTGTGTGGTTAATTCCCTCACCGGTGAATTTGGAAATTTTTGATCGTCTTTTACTCCCGAGTATATGAAAAAAATATTCCCAATTATGTATTAGCAAAAGTCTAATGTATTTTCTCGTTTTTCATCAACTCTAACGCCATCTTGCGGCGGTGGTCTCCTCGAAAATCATACCAACTCATTTTCTTACCCCATCCCATCAGGCAATAGATGGCAACGCTGTGGTTATCGGAGAATAGTTTTAGAAACATCAGATTGTGCAGGTACATTCCTTCCATCAACATGAACATGAAGTTGACGATTATGAAGTAAAAACGCAAGCTCACAATAGCCTTGCACACCCATGACTAAAAAAAAACGATTGATAAATTATTATTCATTAAAATGATACGTTATGTTCGGGGGAATCACAGAGTTGTAATATTTTGATTGTTCTAAACAATTCAGGCATCGAACTCAAGGAAAATATCAACTGATTACTTTCATGACAAACTGCAGTCAAAAATTTTTAAATATTAGCACGTTTCAATTTTTTTGGCTGATTATGAAGCAGTAGAGAGCCAACAACCGTTTTCTGATAGCATATCGGCATAATCACGGAATTGATTTCGATAGTTTTCATTGCGTTGATTCTTCATATATTACTCAGTGAAAACTACAGTAACGTAAAAAGTTTTAATCAAAGTTCAAAGACACTTTTTGACCTGTTTTTACGAACCTACTCCAAATTGTAATATCTCAGCGAGAAATAAAAATATTGAGAGATTCTAAACCAAGTTGTTTCACGACGTTTCGATTGCTAGTTGGCAGGTTGGCTGTCTTTGTTCATCTTTCACTGCATGCTGCTTTTGGCAAATGCATTGGTTTGGGATGTGGGGGTTGGGCAAACCGGCCATCGAATGCCTGCTTCCACGTAGCCCCGCTGGATACGGGAATGAAATAATCTCTTGTGGTTCTGTTATTCCTCAACTGAATGGCACACCAATGTTGGCTTAATCCTGAGCCTATCAGCTGTCTCTACGGACCTTCGAAATACCGGACACCCTCGTGTCACGGTGCGGGGCTCAGCCGTGATTGACCTTCTTTCCCTAGCTACTCGTGGGACTTTTATGGACAGAGTAAACTCAAAAATTCTTTCTGACGCTGAGTCTACAGAGGAGATGAATGTCGGGTTTACGACTCCAACTACCTCCCTATAAATTTAGATCAGGAGCGAGTCTACAGAGGAGATGGATGTCGAGTTTACGACTCCAACTGACCTCCCTGTAAATTTAGATCAGGAGCGAGTCTACAGAGGAGATGAATGTCGAGCTTAAGACTCCAACTGACCTCCTTGTAAATTAAGATCTTGAGCGAGAGCTTCTCAACCCTCCAACCCCTGATCTAATAACTGAACCTAAAAAAAAGTTTAGTGGTGCAGCCATGAAACGACTAAGTCGTCTCCTCGAGAGCGAGGTACCTTATGAAACCGCCTTGCACCAAATTGTTGAGCGGCGTACGCAGAATCCGTCTCAGGTGGAGGGACAAACTCCCCATCAGGCACACTCCAACCTTGTAAGGGCACTTTTGGAGGGTTCAACTGAATTTTCTGGCATTTATCACAATTACGACAGATATTTTCAATTTCACAATTCAACGATGGCCACCAAACATGTGATCGAGCTAGAAGTTTCGTTTTAACTATTCCCAAATGTGCATTGTGTAATTCTCTTGTAATGAATGCCTGTAGTAAAGATGGAATAACAACCCTGTGACCCCATATTATGATGTCCTCTTCAATGCTCAGATCCAAGCGCTTATTAAAATAGGGTTTCAACTCACGATCAATTTCATTTGGCCAATCTGTTTTCAAATATTTCAAAACTTTCGAGAGAACTGGATCGACTAGTGTCTCATTCCGAACATTATTCACGTTTATTGGAATTTCGGAATTTGAAGAAATGAAATTAATATCAACGACTTCATCGATCATATCATCAGACTGCCGTTCTGAATCTATTTCGTTCATTGGCAATCTACTCAAAAAATCAGCTATATTTTCACTGGTATTGACATATTTTATGTCCAGATGTTTAACTATGTCTTCATATGAACTTTGTTCTGGTTTGTTTGGCAATGACAAATCAACCAGTATTGGTATGCCTCCTCCGCGAGGCTATATAGCAAAACTGCTCGTTTTATTGTATTTTTAGTAATATTTCTTGCGATGAAATATTGTTCAAGTCGTTTGACAATCACACTCCACTCGGATATTTTTGGATCGAACATCAAGTTGAGTCCAATATCAACTCCTTTGGCCATTTTTATTTATTTGGCTCATTATTCACATCCGCGGTTCGCAAGTACTTTTCGAAAAAGCAAAGAAAACTCGTCGCCAAATGAAATATATTTGTTCTGTCTTAAAATGAAACACATACTTCTATGTGGACCTAACCCACTTTGGTCCTAACCTAACATAACCTAACCTGGTATCCACAATCACCTTCGGGTGATGATAGTCATCAATCGAAACGTTGTGAAGTAACTCGGTTTGGAATCCTTTAATTTTTTTATATTTTGTTTAATTGTTCTATTTTTCACTTGTATTTTATTTTACTGTAGTGTTACTTCATACTTTTTTTTGCTTAATATAATTGTTACTTTCATCTATTCTTTATAATTTGTATTGGCTCTTTTAGGGATTTCAAATCATTTTATATAGTAGACAATGGAAGTCCGAACTAATAAAATTCATCATGAAACATTGTCAATCATCTTCAATCATAGATCAAATTAATAAGTTACGATGGCTATAAAAAGAGTAAAAAAGCAGTTGTATAAGCTAGATGCCTTTTGCTTGGTTATAGGTTGCTTTTCATCCCGATAACCCCACGGGATCGGTCTACGCGGGTAAATTAGCCTATACTCTGCAGTTTGCAAAGACAAAGTCGAGGGAAAAAGCTGATGTACATTAAAAACATTCTATAATAACTATGACAGGATAACTATAATGAAAATACCTGAATTTGTTGAATGTATAAGCTATGAACTGGCTTTGCACCTGTGCAAAGCCAATGTGATCACCAGTACTTACATATATGACGTTCTTTGGAAAACTTGCATTTCCCCCTTTATCAAAAACTGTGTCGCAAGCTAAAGCGGTGCCTTTGACAAAAAAAACATCTTTCATTATCGACATGAATGATCGCATAATGAAGGAGAAGAATAGGTTGATGTGGAGGGTATTCCTCGAACAACGTAGGCGTCTAGAAGTAATAATAATTAGTACATTTTTTAAGCTCAAAAAGTACGAAGAAATCATGAAAACTTTTGAAAAAAATCGCTAGCTCTAAATGTTTTATTGGTAAAAATGAGGAATTTTAGGTTATAATCGATGTTCAAACTAATCTACACTTTTTGTTGCTTATCAGCTCTACATCTCTTTCAAAATTGTTGTTGGTTTGTTTTTATGGTTTGTATCGAGAAACATCTTATGGTTTTGGAGTGATGTTTCCAGAAAATCTTTATTTACCAACAAAAATTGTACATTCGATTATTCCATCAGTTTACTTACTTTATGGTGAAGAAAATATATATAGAGATCACCAGTGAAGTCACAGATATGGTATACCCAACACAGGAAGTGAGTTTGATGCGTGGAACCCATTCCATGTAGAGAGAATTGATTTGTGGGATGGCTCCCTCTGTGGCAGACACTGTAAAAAAGCTACCGCATCCAGAAAAATTCGTGAAAGGCAGATCAGAATCCTCGCGGGCCATCCATGTTCCGTTCTGGGTACATTGTATAGAAGCTGAGCCCTAAAAATTCAACCATCAGAGATTCGGAAACTGTTGCCAACTTTTGAAAAATTTAGGAACCTTTGTTGGAACATGTTGTGATATATTTTTCAAATATATAATTAGATATAATTAGATGCGTTCAAACACATACCGTTTTGCGTACATCAGTTTGATAGGCAATCTATATCCATTTGAAGATCCAAAATGTTTAGGCCTCAGTTCAAATTATTTAAAAACATTTCAAATAGCCAGTAAAAAGCGAAACTTCATTTTCATGAAAGCAACGAATCAAATAATTAATTTAAAGGTTGAACAACTGTGGCCCGAAGTGTGCTCCTTGTGGAACACCCGATGTTGGTATGAGAATAGTAATCATTAACCCCGGCAGTTTGCGTTCTGTCCGAAAAAAAATCAAGGCATGTAATCACACCCAGTTCCGCTGACTTTTTGGATTTACACCCGAGTTGTTGGTTTCCTCCAAAGATCTGACGAGAACCAATTTTGAGAATTCAAATGAAAGGAAGCAAATCCTCGGAATCAAAAGTGACAGCTGTCAAGGTACCACAACACGGTGTGTATGGAATCGATAACAAAACACTTCTAAATCTTTGGCAATTACTTTGGTTGAATTTTTCTCGCCTACACTTTACAAACTTTGTGTAACCTGAGATAACTATAGCACCTTCCAACAGGGACTTTCGAACTTGGACAATCGACAACGGCCATTTTGTTGAAGCTACATCTGTCAAATTAGGTTGTCATTTATTCAGTCTATTTTGCAAATAATAAAATTGTCCTATCAAAATGGGTGTTCTTTTCGGGCAACGTACCGCGCGCTTCGCCCTAATCATCCTACTGAGAGGACTATTTACAATGTTGTTAATGAATTTGAGTCTACAGGTTGAATAAAGGATCGACCAACACCCGTACGTCGTCGAAAAGCAATGTCTGCCGAAAATATCGCCGTTGTCTGTGAGAGTGTGCAGGAGAACCCAAAACAGTCGAGTTCGCGTCGATCGCAAGAACTCGGCCTTCTGCAAACCGCAACTTTGTGAATTTTGCGTGGTGACTTGAGCCTGTACCCATACAAAATTCGACTGACCCAGGAACTGAATGTAAATGGAATGAATGACCATGAAACATGACAACTGATCTTGATTTTCATCAAAAAATCATCTTTAGCGATGCAGAGCATATACTTTGTGATTGCCCCGCTGGGGACCGAACCATGTTTTTTGAGTTCGGCAGAGCCGTATTCTTGATCTGACCTGAAAGACAACTCACCATATAAAATTATCGGCTTCGTTAAGACGCTGGGTTTATTTGGTCGAGTGTAAATAAGTGTGAGCAACAATAAACCCTTGCGGGTTGCGGTGGAGGGTCAAATAGACTCACTCACTCTGGACCTAACCTAACCCCTCTCTGCGGCGAATGATGACACACCATTGAATTTTTTATCAAAATGTACCAAAATTGATTTCTCTTCATAGAAATTTTGTCTGACTTTGATATCTTGCCCCGTTCAAAACTTAAGAGGGAGCAAGGACTATGTCGTCGAAACTTGTACATTTTTTGAGACACTCTGTATTTTTACACTACAACATTGTATGTGACGAAACCACTGTACATACCTAACAAACCCCGTGTTTATGCGACTTAATTTTGGGCTACACCGTACATTCAAGAATAAAATATTGTCACTGAACTTACCCCATCTGTCGATTTGAGCAGTTCTCCGGAGCAAGGCTGTATCGCAGTCTCCCCAGCTTTGGTAGCTGGCCAGCAGAGATACCCATCGAAATAAGTAGGACACATCTTTTCTTGCTTCTCCGAAGCCCCGGTAGACTCGAAGCAAACGTTCCTTAAGTAATCGAGGACATCGTTTTCGTTCTCAAACTTGGCCGTCATCTTACCAGATTTCTTCAACGCCAACGACTGTCAATCCTTTTCTCTGTCACAACCCTCTAGATGGGATTCTCCAAGCATGTAAGTTGATATTGGGCGTAGGTAGCTTCTATGTTTCCACGCGATCGTTCGGATGTTTACCCTCCTCGCGACAGAGATGGATTGGATGATTTGATTGAAGTAAACAGAGCTGTTCTTCTGTTATTCATTGATATTTTTAATGGGTGCGCTTGTGTTACAATAATAGAGATATCATTTTTCTGAAATCTCGCTAATCTGGCAAACAGCGGTTGTAAATAGAAACAAATTTCTGGGACGACCAGTTTCAAAAATACATACATTGGTTCGTTATATAATTCTGATAACTTTTTATTTGTGTCCGAAGATAATGAAACTGGATCCACCCAGAGTTACGGAGAGTGATATTGGTGGGACCAGAGCAAAATGAGATACCAGGGTGGTTTGAAAAGTTTCCGACCTAAAAGATACAAAACTCTTACCAGGAACTCGAAAAATCTCTTCATCTAATGAACCCGCGAATACTTCCAAAACCCAATTAGTATCACTTTTCTAAACAGTGATTTGAAATATCTCACTATTTCAATTCACTCAAAATTTCCTCTAGGATTTCCAGCTACTGTAGGAAATTCAACTGGATTCACCAAATCTCCGCGCACCAGTGACTTAAATCTTTTCAAAAAACCTCACCACCTTAACTTTGTTAAGGGATGTAATTGATGTTATCTCAGAAAATTCTAACCAATCGGAAAGTCTGATATTGTTTCTAAGACTGGCACTCTTATCGCCACCTCATGGTCCGACGAATAAGTCCGCAAGAATTCACGTCTAGTCTGCTACTAATATATAGATGTCACTGCGAGGGTTATTTTGATATTTTTGCTGTCTTGAATAGAGGTATGTAGACTATACCAGACATTAATTTTATGTTGTTAAAATTAAGGCTGACACTCTAACCCCTCGGAACATGAATTTTGATATTTATTATACGTTTAATTGCTTTTTGACTTTTATTCTAAATGGGGCATACAGAATGGGTAACATATTTTCGACTCTTAACGAAAGATAATGAAATGAATGATGAGGTTGAATGTTTCAAAATATCTGATTTCTTAGCACCAAGCAGTTAATTTTAACGACTTTTCCTTTAAATGGCTTTGCTCTGTTGGCCCTAAGGTTATTTCTGAAAGATGATAAGGTTTTCTTTTTATACGAAAACACATGTTTTGGTATCTAAAATTCAACGAAAAATATAATATATCCAACTTATTACAGTTGAACGTCAGTCACGTGATTTGCTGGCGACCAACCCATACCTTGATAACCAGCAGGATCAGCTCTACTGTTGGTACCATACTGGTGTTCAACCGTTCTGTCATTATAGATTTGACACTTAGGAAAGAAGAATAGTTGACGAATAAACATTCAACAACATTCTGCAACAAATTAATGCACATGCTAATAGAATTGGAGGATGAAAATATCAAGATGTCAAAAAAATACTCTCACGAAAAGATAAGACTTGCTTTACTCATTAAAAATACAACATAATACAGGGCTTCGTTCTTAGTTCGTCAGTTGCTTGCTGACTGCTGACGTCACTTTACTGTTCCGGCTCGGTACCAAAGTAGCGACCAAATATGGTGCTTTCTGGGTCTGTTGATGGTGTGAATTTCTGCGGCACACCTGCGAAGAACACTTGTTATACAAAGAACTTATTATAAGAAATACCACTCCAAGACTTACCTCCATCATTTGTACGCTAGCCTTGGCATTATTGCAGTGTCCGTACTCAATCAGGTGTGTCAGCCGGACAAACTGATGGTTGAGAGCCTCTCCCGGAGTTATCCTTCTCTCCTGAAATTGAACAAGGTTGAAACATAATTTACATAACAAATTGTGTATTTTCTTGAAATGGGACAATATATACCTGGTTCATCGCCAGCATCCTCTTCAGCAGATCAATAAACTCTTTCCTGTCGGCCTTTTCTGCCAAGAGCTGGTCCCCTTCCGGATCGCTAGGAACAATAAGCTGTTCAATATCGTCCAGGCAACTGAAAATGTACATTCTAGTTTCCTCCGACTTTATCTCTGATTCGGCATCATGCTCTTCTGGAGTTTTCAACCTCCAGAATGGATGAATGTTATTCCTGTCTCGGTAGAAGAACGCCGTTGTTTTATAAGCGTGATTTAGCATGTCCTCTGTCGGTAAACCTTGGGTGTGACTGATGTAACGGATCTGGTCGTATTCAGATGATCCAGGATACAGTGGACAGCCCAAAAATAGTTCTGCAGCGATACAACCGAGCGACCACATGTCGATCGCTTCACGAAACGGCAGGCCCAGAATGATTTCAGGCGCCCTGTAGTAGATAGACTGTATAAATGTGTCGCATTCCGCTTTGTTGGCGTAACAAGCGCTACCGAAGTCAACAATTTTGATGCGGTACGGTTGCCGAACGGGATCTACGAACATTATATTCTCCGGTTTCACGTCGGTGTGAATCAGCCCTAAGTCCTGGAAGAATATAGTAGAAGGTTAGTGAAATAACAGGTTTCATCTCGTATACCAAGAGAACCACGGTAAGTTTAAAGTGTTACAGAAAAATCTACGTTTGAAGAATAAATAAAACTCAGTGTCAGGTTCAGGACAAAATTAATGAATACAAGTTACTGGCTAATTGGGCCTTGCAGTGGTTCATATTACGCAGTAACTTTCCGAGGTGAACTAGTCAGTTTGCCCTTTATGTCACACTTCAGCAGTTTCTCCATTGATTCATCTTTTATTTTTCAGATTGTGGAAGGTTGCTTATCCAAAAAAGCGAGAATGATTATAATTTCATCGCTGTTGATGTGACACTACAAACTTAATAGGAATTGGAATGTACACTTACCTTGAGTTTGAGCAACGCAGTCAGAATCTGTTGTATTATCGGCCTGATGTATTTAAGCGGCATCGGATTGAAGTCGTTATCTTCGACAAAGTCGTGAAGGTTCTGTTCAAGCATCTCGAACACGAGGCAGAGATGATTTTTGTGTTGAAAACTGTCGTACAACGTGAGGAAATTGAATTCGTCCGCATTTTCTTGGCACAGTCGGAACAGGATGTTGACTTCGATTTGACCCTTAAAATTTAAACATTTCAAAACTTTTCGAAAAAACAAAAATAATCATTGTGAGTCATTTATGTTATTAATTTAATTGTCAATTTTTTACCAAAAATACAGTATTACGTATTCTTATTCACTTTTTTTTCGCGATATCTAGAGGTATAGAGGTATACTATGTCCTAGACCAGAGGTCTCCAAACTTTGAAGCCTTCAGGCCATAATGATTTTTCCAGTTTGTTCCAAGGACCAATTTCTGCCCTTAACTATATTTCTAGACTAGGATAGTCGCAAAGTGCGTGACCTAAGCAAACGTACGCTTTTTTTGCATTTCAATTATTATTGTGTATTGTGACACTTAACGACATCTAGTGGCAAGTGGTGGTACTATGTACTATCTTTTTCAGCTACCCGCTAGGTGGCATAATTAAATATTTGGAATTACCGCGTTGGTTCGAGAAAGTTCTGGTTCTAGCTAGTGTATTCCGATCACCTCGAG